TTCACACTCGGTTGCGAACCGATCCAGTGAGTGCTGAAGGTCGCAGACCGATGAAGCCATTAGAACCACATCATCTGCAAAAAGCAGTGGTGCAATCCTTAGTCCACCGAACTGCAGACCCCCTCCCCCATGACTACGCCTCGAAATCCGATCCATGTATATTACAAACAGGATTGGTGACAAAGCGCAGCCCTGGCGGAGGCCAACCCTCACCGGAAATGGGTCCGACTTACTGCCGAGGACCCGGACACAGCTCTCGCTTTGGGAGTACAGAGATTGGATGGCCCTGAGTAGAGACCCCCTCACCCCATACACCCGCAGCACCTCCCACAGTAACTCCCTGGGAACTCGGTCATACGCCTTCTCCAAGTCTACAAAACACATGTAGACCGGATAAGCGTACTCCCAGGCCCCCTCCAGGATCCTTGCGAGAGTAAAAAGCTGATCCGTCGTTCCACGACCAGGACGGAATCCGCATTGTTCCTCCTCAATCTGAGGTTCGACAATCGGCCTGACCCTCCTTTCGAGTACCTTAGAGTAAACTTTCCCGGGGAGGCTGAGTAGTGTGATGCCTCTGTAATTGGCACACACCCTCTGATCCCCCTTTTTAAAAAGGGGAACCACCACCCCGGTCTGCCACTCCTTCGGTACCGTTTCCGACTTCCACGCAACGTTGATGAGACGTGTCAACCATGACAGTCCCTCAACACCCAGAGCCTTCAGCATTTCCGGGCGGATCTCATCCACCCCCGGGGCTTTGCCACTGTGGAGTTGTTTGACGACCTCAGTGACCTCCCCCCGGGAGATTGGTGTTGATCCCCCGTCATACTCCAGCTCTGCCTCTAACATAGAGGGCGGAGTTGTCGGGTTCAGGAGTTCCTCAAAGTGTTCCTTCCAACGCCCTAACACTCCATCAGTTGAGGTCAACAACGTCCCATCCTTACTGTACACAGCTTGGATGGTTCCCTGCTTCCCCCTCCTGAGGTGTCGGACAGTTTTCCAGAACAACTTTGGTGCCGCCCGAAAGTCCTTCTCCATGTCTTCTCCGAACTTCTCCCACACCCGCTGCTTTGCCTCGGCCACGGATGAGGCTGCTGCCCTTCGGGCCTGTCGGTACCTTGCAACTGCCTCGGGAGTCCCCCGGGATAACAAATCCCTGAAGGCCTCCTTCTTCAGTCGGACGGCTTCCCTGACCACCGGTGTCCACCAGGAGGTTCGAGGGTTACCGCCCCTTGAGGCACCTAGGACCTTGAGACCACAGCTTCCCGCCGCGGCTTCGGCAATAGAGGCTTTGAACACCGACCACTCTGGTTCAATGTCCCCAACCTCCAAAGGAATGCCCGAAAAGCTCCGCCGGAGGTGTGAGTTGAAGGCCTCCTGAACTTGGGCCTCCTCCAGACGTTCCCAGTTCACCCGAACTACACGTTTGGGCTTACCAGGTCTATCCAGAGGCTTCCCCCGCCACTCGACCCAACTCACTACCAGATGGTGATCAGTTGACAACTCCGCCCCTCTCTTTACCCGAGTGTCCAAAACATACGGCCTCAGGTCCGATGATACGATAACGAAATCGATCATGGACCTTCTGCCTAGGGTGCTCTGGTACCACGTACACTTATGAGCATCCTTATGTTCGAACATGGTGTTTGTTATGGCCAATCCATGACTAGCACAGAAGTCCAGTAACAAACCACCACTCCGGTTCAGATCAGGGGGGCCGTTCCTCCCAATCACGCCCCTCCAAGTGTCTCCATCATTGCCCACATGTGCGTTGAAGTCTCCCAGCAAGATTAAAGAGTCCCCTTCAGGAGCCCCATACAGGACTCTTTCCAGGGTCTCCAAGAAGGCCGTATACTCTGAACTGCTGTTGGGTGCATAAGCACACACAACAGTCAGAGTTTTCCCCCCCATAACCCGCAGGCGTAGGGAGGCGACCCTCTCGTCCACTGGGGTAAACTCCAACAACGAAGCACCTAACCGGGGACTTGTGAGTATCCCCACACCCGCCCGGCGCCTCACACCTTGAGCAACTCCGGAGAAGAATAGAGTCCAACCCCTATCCAGAAGTAAGGTTCCAGAGCCGACGCTGTGCGTAGAGGTGAGCCCAACCAGATCCAACTGGTAACGCTCCACCTCCCGCACAAGCTCCGGCTCCTTCCCCCCCAGAGAGGTGACGTTCCACGTCCCCAAAGCCAGCTTCTGTCGCCCGGGTCTGGTCCGTCGAGACCCTCCGCTTTCACTGCCACCCTTCTGGCAGCGCACCCGACCCCATCGATGTTTCCCGTAGGTGGTGGGCCCGCGGGACGGAGAAGCGGAGGTGTTGCCCACGTTGCCTTTTCGGGCTGGGCCCGGCCGGGCTCCGTGGCAAGCCCGGCCACCAGACGCTCGCCGACGAGTCCTCCTTCTGGGCCTGGCTCCAGAAGGGGACCCCGGGCTTCCTCCGGGCCGGGTATCCTCACTTCTTGTGTCGTCTTTCATGAGGTCTTTTGAACCAATCTTAGTCTGGCCCCTTGCCTGAGACCAATTTGCCATGGGAGACCCTACCAGGAACACAAGGTTCCAGACAACACAGCCCCCAGGTTCATCAGGGCACACAAACCTCTCTACCACGGTAAGGTGCTGGTTCTTCAGAGAGGAAATATGAAATTTAAACATCCATGATGACTTAAACATATAATCCAGGATACAAGCCACATAGTTGTTATATTCACCTGCAATATAACAACTGGTTAAAAAATAAATAAACTACCGAGTGTTTGAAAGCGTACAACAGTTTTATGATACTGCCCCATCTAAGACACCAGTGGATCTGACTTTAATTACATTTGAGTTGAGTGTTTCGTATCTTTCACACACAGTGACGTCACGAGCTACTCACAATGCAACACGCGCCACGGCCAGATACGGCTCGAGAAGCTGACTCAGATAAGGAAATATTGTGATATTATATGATCGATGATCTGATTGATGATGTGATATCAAGTGTGATATGAATGATAAGTGCGACACGTCGGCGTCTTCTCTGCAACGGCAGTTTAAACTGTATTTCCTTTATCCTGTAATATGACTTGATAGATTTAAACTCCACACACTGAGCTCTGATTGGTCAGCATGCAGGCGTTGCTTTCACTGAGTTGATCTCTTTTCGCTCTTTACGCCAGGGGCGGTCAGCGTCAGGTAAAAAAAAAAGTTATTTAGCCTTCCCAAACTTGAGCCTCACGCGCCGCCTATGATAAGCTGTCAAACATTTCAAATGATTATTTGAATGCTTGTCTAGATGGAAAAATATGCTTGATCTAGTTAATGATTACAGTGTTTGGGCAGAGCTGCAGCTTTGACCTGTATGTTCTGTGTGTCAACTTGACCCATTTGAAAACATTAGGTTTGTGTCGGGGATAAAACAGGTCTGAAATAGTTGTGTTTTTGGTGAGGTTTGTAGTATCACCAATGTTAGGTCTGTGATACATTTGGTGTGTTGCACAAGTAACGCATGATTTCCCCTACATTGGGTATGACAGTGACATCATATCTCCTGCAGTCGTCCCAAAATTGAGATGCGGAGAACTTCCTCCTCAAAGCCACTGTGATGCCTGCACACGACAACAATACGAAACACAATCTGAAAGGATAAGATCGATTATATCTGAGGTTTTTCTGCTTAAAATATCAATGAAAAGCCCAAACCAATAATAAATGTATCTACAAACACATCCTTGTAGCCGAGCCTTAGAGGACTCCAGACCAGTGTTTTTTTTTTTAAATCTATTGGTTTATATCAAATGCAACCCTTGCTGAAGAGGCGCTCCACACTCACGACAAATAATGTATTCTCTCTTAATTTGCAAGCATATGAAAATATTTATTAAAACAAATTAAATACATTTAAAAAAACATTTATGATCTACGCACAGCATATCTCATTAACGTTATATAAAATATAAAAACAGACATAACGACGGAGGGGCAGAAAACTTAATCTAGTTCTCTCAGTCTACAGTACAGGGTGCAGTGATCTGCCAGTATCAGTCTTCAAGGTATCACAAGTTAAATATTACAGTGTGGACAGTGTTTGACCTATAATGTTTTTCTAAAAATACACGTATACTTTATGAAAGGATCACTTCTAAGTAACTTATTTACTGCGGAGTGCCTGACATTGCGATTAAACACCTGCAGCTTTAAAGCTACACTGAAATGTTCAACAGGTGTATGAGAGATCTAATAAACAAATCACAAAACAAATATTTTGTTTTGTTTAAAGGAGTGTTATGCCTTTTCTGAGATTATCTGGACCAGGACATAGAAGTTGTTTCTTTGGAACTGGAACAATTTCTGCATTAAAGAAAAAGTTCATTTTTGAACGCTAACTTGCTTTCTTGTCGAGAGGTAAATTAAGATTGAAACCACTATCATGTCTGTAAAGTTAGCTTAGCGTAGCATAAAAGCTGAAAACATGTGGAGAAAACTAGCCTGTGTCTCTCTGAACCTTATTTCTTGTGTAAAATTATATTTCATTTGTTAACTATTTCTTGTTTGGTTAACTCACAGTATTACTGGAACTATATCATCACATAAGCCCCCATAACATTACAATTTGTTATTCTACTCAATTATATTCTACATTGTTTTGTAAACAAACATTCTGTTCTGGTGGGTTGTTTTAGCGAACTTTGAAAATCCCAATTGGATTTGATTTTCCACCTCACTTCCAGTTTGTACGCTAAACTTAGGTTACTGGCTGCAGGTTTATATTTTGCGAACTCAAGACTGAGTGTCTGAGAGTATCAATCTCCATCAATGTCTCTTGCCAAGAAAGCAAATAAGCCAATTTCCTAAATGTCAAACTATTCTGTTAACAATGTTAAAGAAACACACTGCAAACATCCATGAAGGCAACGGTTCTACATCGAGTAAACTTGAAACACTTAATTAAAAAAAGGCACGTTAATGTAAGTTTACTGAAATTGTTAGAACTTAGTTCAAAGTTTATCTCCCTACTTCACTTCATACCTGCCCTCACTTTGTCATTTCTGCTGGTAGAACGGACTGTCGAAGCCGCTGTCCTGCTGCCGTTGTCTCAGCTCAGAGAACTGAGGCCGGGGACGGCCCCCCCGCTGCTCCTCGCCCTCTGAGCCAGGCGTGGGCTCCCGGTGTGTGCTGAGCTTTGCATGCTGAACGCTCAAAGTCTGGGTGTGAGGTGTCTTTTTGGCAATTTCGTTATAGACAGTCAGGTCAGAAACATTCGGGGTGAGTCCTACAAACTCTCCCAGGTGACTGGCTGACGCAGCAGAGACAGAAAAAGGCTTCACCTGCTCCACTTTCCTCCCTGAGTAAGAGAGTGTGGAGGCCTGGAAGCCTGCGTCCGAGTCACTGCTGCTCATGCTCCAGTCCGTCCTCCTCTCGTCTCTGACAGGAACCTCCTGGATGAGGAGCGGTTGGGTCTGTCGCTCTGAGTCAAGGCGGTTGACTCCCTGCAGGCATAGCTCCCTGTTTTTACTCCTCACAGACGCATCGACAAAATCCCCCTGGCATGAATTCGTCTGATGTGAAGGTTTGTAAGAGTGGAGATATGCGTTACCAGCAGTTTTCAGTCTTGCATCTACTGCCGCTGCCTCCTTCTCAGTGGCAGGAAGGTCTTTGTGACTCGAAGGTTTCGTCCTCGCTGTGGCGACTTGTTTCTGCTCTGAAGTCTTTTCCCTGTGCGATCTCCCCTCCGGCCTGATGTCAGGGAGCTCAGTGAGAGTCAAAGGGTTCTTACTGAAACCTGCATTTCTACCTGTGAACACAGCTGTCAAACAACCAGTCAATACAAACCACATATTCCCAGCACATTGACAATTTAAAACCTAAAAGGAGACACCTTGAATCAAGCAGTTCTACTCGACAGGACTCACTTTGTAAGCTGTAGTTCTTTGAAGATTTCATTCTGACAGGCGTCTCCAGTACTTTAGCCATGGCTGCCAGCTTGCTTGCAGCATTCATTATTTTCTTGTCAGCCCTGCAGAGGACAGGAAGATCAATACAATTAGCCAGAGGAGTCCTGAGGAAGCAAGCAAACAAGTTTAGGACATTACGGTCTCTTGCCTTGTATTCTTTCCCCCGTCCTCCAGTAACTCCTGCAGACAGGTCAGATAATAGCGCCGCATCTTCCTGGCGGTGTCCTGCCTCTCCCTCTGCACCTCCACGCGGATCATCTCTGCAGCTCGCTCTCGACTCTCCTGGAGGTAACGCAGCATGTCTCCTGCGGTAAAACACAGTTATGATCCGTCCTTTTCACTAGGTACATTTACATGAAAATTACTGAGGTTCGATCAGATTCACAAGTGAGGACATAAATGAATATTATGGTACAGGACATCATAGTTTCTAGTTGAGTCTTCTTCCTTAAACCCTCCAGGGCAGTTTTATATTGAAATCTGGTGTGCCTGAATACAGAATATTTTAAATGTGCACACAATAAACACATCCATTACAAACCTCTGATCTTTTCTACAGTCGTCACGTATTGCTGCTTCATCTCTTCCAGGCCTTGTGTATTTTGTTGGTGATCAGAACTCCTGCAAGCAAGAAAAAAACATATTCTTCCATGATTTTATTGAAATTAAATGTCAAACTGATCTTTGGTGTATTTTCAGCTATTTCTAAGATTTTGCCCCAAAAACAAAGACAAGAAACCCTAAAGACTTTGCTGCTTTCTAGCAATTTGACCTTACTTTCAACAGTCCAAGGGTTAATTACTATTTGGGATGGGTTAAATGTCTGGAGGGACTTGATTTGACTATTACTGGAGTAAAAAGTCCAGCTTATGCTTGGCATCATTAAGATGGATTATAAAAGACCCCCGTCACCCCAGCCACAAACTGTTCAGTCTGCTGCCGTCTGGCAGGCGTTACCGCAGCATCCGGACTAAAACCACCAGATTCAGAGACAGCGTCATCACGCAGGCAATAAGACTGTTAAACAACTGAACTGCTGAAACAATTTCATAACATTCATCTGCTACTTAGTAATTATTTATCCATTATCTAATATATCATTCCAATAACTTGTATATAGACTCGTATTGCACTATTCCACTTTTTTTCTCTCACTTTTTTAAAACTATTTTTCTTTTTGTATTACTTTTAATATAGTATATTTTAATATTGTTTTAATATTGTCTGCTTATCTGTATTATTGTGCTGCATTGTTGGAGAAGCCTGTGACCTAAGATTTTCAACGACATAATTACTCTGTAGCTATGTTAGTTTGACAATAAAGAACCTTGAACCTTGAACCTTGAACCTTGAAGATGACAGATAATGTGAGATGCTTGGTCCAAAAAACTAAAACCTTGTGTTGGATGGAATGTTAATTCCAAGTGCAAAATGCATGAGCAAAAGCACTTAAGATAAGGGACAACATTTGATATAAAAAAGATATACATTGGTTTAACTTTGAACTAACACGGCATATCACAACAGAACAAAACAATAAACTGGAGCAACAATATTTTATTTAGCTTCATTTCACTTTGAACTGAAGATAAGAAACAATAAAAACACTAACCCTGAGGATTCTTTGGCTCTCTTCACCTCCTCCAGCTGCTGCAGATGTTCCTCCTTCATGGTTTTCAAGCTGCTTTCATGCTCATCTGCAACACACAGACATGTTGTATGTTGAGTTGAGTATATCCATTAGTTTGACATTTAAAGAGAGAATTGAAATGCCTTTAATACCTTTCAGATGCTGCATGGCAGAGTTGTGCTCCCGGACGCTGTGCTGCAGCTGACGACAGGCTTTCTCTAAGTGTCTCTGCAGCTCCTGGTTCTTCTTCTGCAGCTTTCCTAAAGTCTCGGCGCACTCCTTCCTGCAGCGGGCCGGCTCCTTCCTCTGGGACACGGAGCCTGGAAACAGTGGAGAATATAAGCTTGCTGATGGGCACTGTAGTGATCAAATAATGAATATTGTATGTCATACGGACGATCAGAGGGCAATACATACTCTGCATTTGGTCTATTTCTCTCTCATGATGCTCCTGTGTTTCTTTTAACACAAGGCTCAGTCTCTCCTCACTTATCTGTAGGGGAATAAAGGAAAGTGAAACTCATAAGCATTGTACCACAGAGAAACAAAATAAAAACAGCACATTCATAGAAATCATAACTTACTGCACTTTGAATTGCCTTCTGATGAAAGGGGCTATGAATGAACTTGCCTTGCTGAGGATTTAAACAGGGCTGTGCATGATTTTATAAAGGAATAAAGTAACAGGCTGATTGTAATGTTTGTGATTTGCAAGCTCCCAAATACTATACTAACACTATACTAACTACCAAAATATGCATTTCAGTGCAATTCTGCTGTTCATTTATTTCTTTGTCCTGCATTGTGTTCCAACAACCTTCGCCCTCTGCAGACTCAGCAAATTGATCATTGAGCAGAGCAAGTCATCTTAACCTAAATCATTAACTGATAACATATGTTTTATCTTCAGATAACAGATATTTGCAAAAAAACTCACTTTGGTCCATTGCTTCTTGGCTTGAGACACTGCTCTGTTGACTACGTCTCTGCAGGTGGTTTGGATGATGTGTGTGACTGTGAGCTCTGATGTGTCCCCGCTGCTCCTCCTGGGGTCTTCAGTGTGGGGCTGATTTGTTCTGGGATCCCTGAGAAGTTGTGCCTGGACCTCTGACAGAGCCATCTGAAGTTCCGTCATTAATTCATCTCTTGTCTGCTGCCTCTGGACCTGCTCCTCCTCTGCATGCTGACATTTCCACTCCTCCTCCCGGGCCCTCACAGTCTGCTGTAGCTTGGCCTCCACCTGCAGGAGCAGCTCCTCTCCGTGCAGCGCCGCCTCCCCTCTGGCCTGCTGCACAGCCTGCTCCAGATTTCTCTGGTACGCCTGCTCACTGCGGGCCAGGGTCACAGAGATCTCTTGTTGTTTGTCTCGGCTCCAGGCTGCTCGGGCTGCAGTCAGCTCAGCCTTCAGCAGCGCCGCAAGCTCCCTCCTCCCCTGCTCCACCTGACTCTGCCAACTCCTCTTGTAGCTCCTCCAGTCTCTGCTCCTCCAGCTGGTTCTTGTGCTTCTTATTCCACTTCTCCTCTGCCTGGGAAACCTGGCCCATTTAAAATTAAGAATAACACATGATCAGAAAAGAAAAGGCATTTTACAGCATTGTCAGTTTTTACCTCAAAGACAGAAACGGTTCATACCTGTTGTCCTGTGCGTTTCTCTTGCAGTACTTCCCATTTCTCCCTTTCTGTTTGGAGAGCGGCTCGATATTCTGGTAATGACGTCAAATCTTCAATCCAGCGATTGTAGGCCCTGGTTACTGCACCTTCAACCTGAAACACCATCAGTAAGTGTTAATCCCTGATGAAAGCAAGATATCTCAAAACATTTGGGGAATACAGCATTGTGTTTTATTTAATTTTATAACTATTTAGTTTGCTTATTTCATCATCATCATTTTATTTAAACGGACAGTGCACATTAATCAACATTTCTGTAAATGTGACAGAGTTAGCCAAGAGGCTATTTTTCATCTGTAGTCCCTGGACAGATTTTGTAAGTCACCCTAAGGACACATTTCATTTTAAACAAGTAAGTACAATCAAATAAAAACATGCAACATACAGTACTGGAAATCTTAATAAATGATAATCCTCATAAATCCTCATCATAAATAGTGGGATGAATCAGCTAAATCACATAGTTTAGAGAGCTAGCAAGTCTTGCTGCATTGGATTGATTCTAATTGTTCCCACACATTCTAAATGTACAGTAAAGCTATGCGGCTGACTAGCACACATATAGTTAAAGAGCTCACTGACCTGGTTGGCCATGTCGTCCAGATGTTTCTCATGCAGCTCTCTCTGGGCTTGTTTCCTGGCTTCCTCCACAGCTTTGCGTTTGCCTCTCTCAGCCTCCAGGAGCAGCTGCTGTCTCTGGGCACTGAGCCTGGAGTCCAGATCCTCTGCAGTGACTCTCACACCGCTGGCCTCCGTCTCTGCCTGACAGGAAGCCTCAGCCGTCTCCTTATGTTCCTCTCTCCTAGCCTCCTCCAGCCTCTCCACCCAGGACTTCTCCATCTGCACAGTAGCAGTAAAAACTTCAATTTCTGACGCAAATTCACTGAAAGGGAGTTGAGTGCTGAACAGTCATTACAGGAAATCCTACCTTTTGCAGTTCCTCCTCCCAGGCAGCCTTGGCTAAGGCAACTTGAGAGTCCACCTGCTCCTGGATCTCCGTCTCCTTTTCTTTGGACCAGAGAGCTTTGAGCTGTTTTATCGAGGCCTCATGCTGAGCCTCAAGCTCGGCCCTCAGCTTCTCCACAGCTGGGCCACTCGTTTCTTGCATCTTGAGCTATGAACGAGAACCAAATCAAAAATGACTCTCAGTACAGGGGTCATCTGTGTTGCAAACAGACATCTTTAACAAATTGCAAGTAGCAATACATTAAACGATTTGGCAATAATAGTAACAATTTTGCTAGTTCTATAAGCACAGGCGGAGCCCTCTACTTAGGGGCCCTGTCTTTCCTATGCCGCTCGCTGAAGAGGGTGTAGGATGACAGTCTGGAGGTGTAGCTGCCTTATATGCGCACACATTCAGGTAGGCTCGCCCTGATTGGCCGGCTACATTTACAACTTCAGTGTGTGAACGCTCGCGTATCATTGATGAGAGTAGTACCCATAGAGTCCAGTAGAGTGCTCCCCCTGTGCTTATAGAACTAGGGTTACAATATGTGACCCCCCGTTTCCCATCAAGCATTTCGCTTCTGCAGCTCGTGGAGAGAAACTGCTTCGCCTCGCTCTCAAGGCTGCCGGCGTCTTTTCAACGTCTCAAGCAGTCGAGTCTCAAGAGCAAGTCGGACAAAATGACTAACCATCATGCAACGCACTAGCAAGACGGCAGTCGCAATTGCGCAGGTCTGCGTCGGTCTCGCTCATCTCAAACAAGCCTAGTATCTCATATACACTAAGAAAAAGGGCGTATCTGATCAAAATAGGAAAAAGGCTGGAGTTGAAAAGTAACAGTAATCAATTGTTATAATCAGTTATTCACTGAATAACAATACATTACATTATACCTGGCCTAATAATTGTTTGGCAAATAAAAAAAGACTTTAAAACATTGGGAATGTCCAATATAGCAATATAATTATATACGACAACAGCATATTTCATGCAGATCATGTACGTTTTAGATTTAGACTCTGCCTGAATGACTTGCAAAGACTGGTAGAAGTCCACATAGGAGTGAGGGATACTCCCATTTCTGCACAGTGTGAGTTAGTCTTTATTTTTCACAGCAGTGGACCTGTGTGCATCTTCTTTGGTTCAATTGCATGAGCAGCTCTGATCTCCTGCTTTTCAACTTGCAGCTTGGTCGGAAAGCTCATATTTGAACTGAATCCCTTTCGGATCCTCTTTTGTGTAGCGCAGCCATTTCATTTTCTGCCAACGAACTGTTTGTCCCTCTGTGTCTCTGGTTCTGTTTCTGACCGTGTGTTGTAGTAGGGCTGTGCAATTAATCGTATTTTAATCTCGACTTTGGCTTGCAACGATTACGAAAACAACATAATTGATATAAAACGATTATTTTGCTGCGTGCGCTTTCGCCCCTCCCTAAAAGCCCCCCTCGGCCAGGTTGTGAGGGGAAATTAGTGAAATGAGAATGGGCCATGCTCATCTCTTGTCCTGGGTGGCAGATACGTCACTTCCGCCTAAAACCCAGGAGGTATACGATCTAGCACTAACCTGGTTGGTTGGTTGCCCTTCTGTTTATTCTCCGCGGTGGATTTAGCAACAAGTAGTTCATGTAGTTCTCCATGTCCACTTGTTGCTAATGGTTGTGGTAGAGGAGCTGTAGATTTTGCACTAACATGGTCAGTAGCGTATGGAGCACGAAAGCAACCCTGTGATCCGCCATGGTTGTTGTTGGCGAAACACATCAGCAATGACGCGGGGGTGAGCAGCAGAGGTGGGGATAGGCGGGGGTATGGCGTCATCGTTATCAGAAAATGATCATATAGGGCGTACACACGGAACCGCAAGCGTTTCATCCGCAGATCTACCCACCTTGGGAGACGTTATCCGCGTATACGTGTCGGCCTCGTGTGGACGAACCTTCTATACCATAGAGAACTGTAGCGGATACAACCCGTTTCGTCTCTGTGTGGACAGGGCCTAACTAACAAGCAACTGCATTACTATGTTGTTCTAGTAGAAATAAGATGAATGTGTGATTTTTAATGCTACAATAAAAGCCCAGAGTTTAATTATAGAAAATAAGTAGAATTTAATTCATAAAATTATCAGAAACATAAATAAATGTTCCTCAAATGGATCCCTAAAGAGGGGGACAACAAGAAGTCAACAATGACACAAGAAGAAATGTGTTGTTTACATGCTGAGTGTCCAGCTCCTACACATACAATGGCCTCAATTGACCAGAATGGTCCACACGTCACTGTTTGAATCAGCTCTGTTTCACAAAAAAAAACTATAACATTTCATCTCAGCTCAAACAGGCTTTTTACAGGAGGATTTAAGTCAAATAGTAATAAACATGAAATTACTGAAAAAGTAGAAGTACACATTTGAACCAATATGATAAAATCGCAAGACTCCACTGGACATCAGAGGTGGCTGATATGGGACAATGCATCAGGTGAAGACTTTACATTTTGATCTGGCCTGAGGTGATCAAGTTAAATGTGTCCACGGTAAGTGGGACATAACTCTTGTCTTTTTCATCCAGAAAGTAGAGCGGGTCGGTGATTTGATTTGGGTTGAAACCCTCCGCCACCAGCTTCATCTTCAAATGCTTAAATGTGCCTGTAACATCAAAGGAGCTCTGTAATCACAGAACAATGAGTTATTAAGGGAAGGAAAGAATAAAATGTGTAAACCAAAGCAATTTAGTAAAGTATAGAAAATACTGGAGTTGAAGTACCTGAATCCTCAGGAATCGTGGCCTTGCGTAGGCCGGCAGGAAGTTTTCAACATGTTTGAAAACAGCTGCCGAGTCAAATCTGAGTCCTTCAGTTAAGTTAATGGCAGCCATTCCTGCTCTCCCCTCATGACCTGAAATAAGTTAAACAGAAGTGAAATAATAATATTCTGCAGAGGTCATTTCAGCTTGAGCTTAAAAAAAATTACAAATTGTGAGCAGGGAATGAATGTTATCAGGTTGCATGTGAAGGAGTAAAGTGACGTTACAAAAATTGCTTTGATGTCCTTCACAGGAGGTCTGTGTAAAAATAAAATGACAAAATTGAAATATCACTTGATATTATATTGAGCAGCAATGCATGCATTTAACTTATAGGCAGAACATTTCTCGATCTGAAAACAGTACAGACTACAATTGTGAAGCAAGGGCTATAGATTGTAAGCCTGTTACAATATAATGCATGTTGTAATGCTATAATGGATCATAAACAGATATTTTAATAGGTAAGAACAGGTACATTTTTGTTTTAAATGTCCGAAAGTCGGTTTTTCCACTGCACAATTTATTAAATACTTTTTATATCGGAGGTTTTTCAACTAATGTCCAAGTTGATGCCAACTGCAATTGTCGACCATGTTAGTGAGCAGAACAAATCATAGGGTAAAATTAAAATAACGACTTCCCCCATGTTTTCTGGAAAGCTTTTCAGCTCACCTATTTGCACTTTGCCCTGACTGCTTTACATAACCAGGGTCCTATTTAAGCAAGTGTGAATACCTGCTATACAAAAAGGGGTAATAAAATGTTACTGACTGTTTACTGAAAAACACCTGTACACTCCAATAAAAACCTGGCAGACCTGGCGCAATATAAAATACAACACTGAGGTATTAAATTATAAACTTGTGTGATCAAAGAGATTCTCTAAATTAGACTGGCCATTACTCAACAGAACCCGTTGATACAGATTATTTAATGATGAAAACAACAGTTGGTAAATTGCGGCTGTAGGTAACTTCACTGTTTCTGCTCATCACTTTTCTGCTGTGACAGAAAGAACAAAGAGTAGATATACAGTGAGGTTACCTGGCACTTCCACTCCATAAACGTTGGCTTCTTTAATGCAGTCAAGCATCGTGATCACGTCAGCCACCTCAGTTGTAGCCACGTTCTCCCCTTTCCATCTAGCATTAGAAACAAACACACATTAACGCTGTGTTCAAGGTCATTGAACGTCAAACATCAGGTGGCTGAAACTCCAAAATGCACTCACCTGAAAGTGTCTCCCACTCGATCCTGAAAGTAGACGAAGTTATCCTCCTCAATGCGCAGCAGGTCACCAGTGTTGAAGTACAAGTCTCCTTTCCTCAGGACGTCATGCAGCCTCTTCTTCTCAGACTGCTGCAGGTCTCCCATATACCCCGAGAACGGAGCCATCAAGGATATTTGAGAAACCAAGAGTCCAGGCTCACCTGCAGTTAGTTCATCACAATCATGACCCCGTACTCACTATAGCACAATGTGAAATAGATACACATAGGTACGTGTTTGTAATATATACACACACATATACTGGTGTGTTGACCTTATACATAAGTATTTTTGCTCAATAAAAGAGCTGCTTAAAAGTATTAAAGTAACAACTTGAGTAAAACGTTATAATAGTTAAAAACAGTTGTATGTCCAAAAGTTCACATTCTTTACTCCATCAGGTATAAAATATGTCAAACATTTGTATTTATTCCTGTATTTCTTTCTTGGGGGGGGGGGGGGGGGGGTAATGGTACAATATTTGTACATTGAGTCTACATTTCTTTACATTTTAAAATGTGACTTCTACTTCTGTTCCCCACAGCCCCAGTAATAATGCACCTTTGGCAGCCTCTATGCATAAACCAGAGGAGTCCCTCAGAGGTGTTTCTGTTTCAACGTCGAATTTGATCACAGCGTGTGGAAAGTATCTCTGCAAGATAAAAGAAAGAAAAGTAAAGTCAAAACATTGCTCATTGATTAAAAGCTTTAACCTCATAATGTGAAATTAAATCTGGGAATTTACCCTATGGAGGAAGGAGTCTCGGCCCACAGCCCCGATCTTGCCGCTGTAATTTATCAGACCAAAATTCCCTTCAGTCGCTCCATAAAACTCTCTGATTTTAACGTTTCCAAACCTGCTGATGAAGTCCCTCCAAACATCGGCTCTGATCCCGTTGCCTATTGCAAGTCTCACTTTGTGGCTTCGATCATTAGGTTTCTGTCGGGGAAAAAACATTAAAACAAACTGTTATTTTTATATCTGGTGAGCACTAAAGTATCATCAATGTTAGTTCTGTGATACCTTTGGTGTGTTGCACAAGTAACGCATGATTTCCCCTATGTACTGTATGACGGTGACGTCATATTTCCTGCAGTCGTTCCAGAACTGCGACACAGAGAACTTACTCCTCAAAGCCACTGTGATACCTACACACAGCAACAGACAAAAAAACAACTGAGAGGATAGGATTGGTAATTTTGGCCTCTCAACAAATCTATGATCGACCCACAAACACATGTCTGTGCAGCAAAGCTTTATAGGACTTGTTCCTCTGTGCCACAAAACTCCAATGTTTACTAAAACTATGATAAGAGAGAGAGTTACGCTGATCCATCTGGACAAAGATGGAGTCAGACTCAAGGAAGGATGCGGCTGCGAGGTGGACAGTTTTCCAGTTATTATGTTCCAGAAACTCCGTGTTGAACTTGATGGGGTTGAAAAAAAGAGGCAGCAAGTTTTAGGCCTTTCACAATGTCTCAAATGCCCACTGGAGGATTTGGATCTTCTTCGGAAGGATGCAGATCAACTGAGCCAGGCTGATGCGCATCCTGTTCTTCTGCCTCCTCGAACTTCAGTGCTTTCATCTTCATCATGATGTTGTCAATCCTCACCTCCTCTTTGTTTTTTATGCTGGCAATAACAATTGTTTTGCCATCATGGCTTTCAGCTTTTGATTGGCTTCCCCCTCCCCTTGCTGCCTCCTGAATATCATCAACATCTCCGTCAAACTGGTCCCACGGTGAAGTCATGTTTGCGGCTGGCTATTTCTGAGTCCTCTCGGACTTTGTGCTGGAAGGAATAGTTGGCATACTTGGAGTTCAGGGCAGTATGGGGAGCCTTGTGCTGCTCCTGCTACAACAGACACTTCCTCCTCACTTAGTGGATCTTCAAACCGAGATCAGTCTTTCAGATTCTTCCACATATACACTGCTCGCTTGTTTGTTCATTGCTAGGGTTCGATGCCATTGGGTCAGTCTGACTGGGTTTCTCCTCGACCCCTCTGTGCTTTAATCTTTATATTTTATTATCTGAGCTATCCCTGATTGAAATAACCAACTATGTATTAATTTGTTGAATTAGTGAGAACTAGGGATGCTCCGATCGATCGGTCACCGATCGAGATCGGCCGATACTCACTCTCTACCGATCGATCGGTGCTCTCTAAACATGCCGATCGCATGACGTAAAATACATGACACTTTTCTCTGTGTGCGGCAAAACAAGCTCGCCAACATGGCTTCACCGGTCTGGCATTATTTTAAGGTGTCCGAAAAAGACAGTAAAATAGCGGTATGCAACGTGTGAAGCAGAAATCCTGCAGCTCCGCCCGCCGGACAGGTAAGCGCAGCGAAACACACACACAGGGAGAACCAGACCGCAGTTCATTTCCTCATATTCCAAACGAGAAATTACGGTAGCAAATCACCCGGTTCTTTACGACCAGAACTATTTAACGGGATACAAACCGGAGGAACCAGGCATGGAGGGAGGTGGCAGAGACAGTGGGTGAAACTGGTAGGTTTTCGCCTGTTTGGGGAGTTTATATATTGCTCGCATAAAATCCCCGTTTTTTTTTGCTTTGTATGTCGGGGGCGGGAGATTCATGTGATTGGTTGTTGGTCGCAAAAAATCCCCAAGCTTTCAGACACGCCCAGCTCCAAGATTTTCAAGATTTTTGAAAAGCTGCTGTGTGGACGTACCGTAAGAGTTAGACCTAACACACTTAGCTATTTTATCTACCTCTGGAACAAGCTAAACTAGTTATTATAAATATATGTATTCTTCATTGTCGGGTCACTCATTACTGGATCAGTGAGCTGCATGAGATACCGACAGGCTGTCAGGAGAGGGGAGAGAGGAAAAGAGAGCGCTTCCGCTAATTTCTCCCGTGTTATTATCCAAAGTGAATGTAAACTTGAATAATGTACATCATTTGAATGTAATAATTAAGTTGATTGTTGTTTGTGGAAGCTCCAGTGAATGAGCCCCATTAACTGAGTTTTAAAACATCACTTTAAATGGAAGATTTAAAGTGATGTTTAAATCTTCCATTTAGGCCCCGCCCACTCGATCGGATCGGCGATCGGTATCGGCCGATACTGATTCCAGCGATCGGCCCCGAAATTGGCGATCGGAGCATCCCTAGTGAAAACAATACAATATAACACCACCTATATTGCCTAACAAAACTACTGATGCTGTTAAAACATTTCCTTACCAGATCATTAGATATATACCCAAGTGTTTACCTCTGTCAATAGCTGAAGCAAATCCAAGGAAGCCGGTGGTGTGATAAAGTGGGAGGCAGATATAAATCACATCATCAGAGTTCATTCCTGCTAGAGACGGGAAGCAGGCTAATTGCCACAGTTTGGCATGAGAGATCGCAGCTGCTTTAGGGAAACCTGTAGAAGGAGAAGCCAGAGGCATGTTGTGTTGTACACTGAACATTTTAAGAAATAGGCCTATTTCACCCACAGAATAACCATTGTACCATTTGTATCAACTCATGTTACTTTAAATTCTTGAAAACAACTTGATAAATATCCACTG